TTTTTTTTTTTTTTTTTTTTTTGAGTACAGGGCATAATTGTCTAGCATTTTGAATATCTAAACAGTTGGTGAAGCTAAACTTAGTGAGCTGTGAAGTAGGAATGGACTTACACCCTCATGAGGTGGGGTTTGTGTAGTGCCTTTCATTGAGAAGATCTGGGCTTATTCTAAGGATTGTTGGATCCAGTTGCCAAATTCTGCCAAGTTTGGGATAGAAAACAGTGAAGCCTGTTACTTATATCATGTTGTGACAAGGACTAAAGCCTAGTTTATGGATCTGATTATTCTCAGAGTAAGGTCATAGATGATCAGAAACTCTTTTCTGTCTACCTCTCTCCCTTAGAAGGCTGGATGAGGGTGAGCAGCTGTTGTGGTGCAAAAGAATGTAGGAGTGTTGTAGAAGGGATGGAGTCAGTGTCCCGCTTTAGGACATGGATGGCGATGGCACAGCATACAGTCCTTCTGGTGTTGGTTGTATTAGACTATACATATGTAGCATAACAATGACATGTAGCACAGAAAACAAGCAGAAGTGAGCTGTGAGTCATTTTCCCTCAGCCTCACCGGAACACTTTCTGACAGTACATTAGTAAGTTATAATGTTCCATAAGTTATTAGAAATGCCTATGTATGGTCCACTTAAAACACATGCTTTTGTGCATGGCCAGCAGATTGTTGGTTTATTTAGCAAGGAATCCTTCCAAGGACAGCCTCAGTAAGCTGCTGCTGTGTGATTTTGTACTTGTTTTTTTGTTTTTTTTTTTTCTCTTTTTCTTTAACATGTATAGCTTATCTATGCTTTGTAAACTAAAGATTTGAGTTACTGCTTAATAATTGAAACCAAACAAACTCCAAAGATTACATTTCAGAAACAGCCTACAGGAGCCAGTATGTGTCACTGTCTTAGAGGGGCCAGTGGTAGTGGCAGCTGTCCAGGGCTGAGGAAGCTTTTAAACAAGGAGCCTGTTCATCCTGCATTATAAATAGAGAATATTGAAATAGACATATAATACAGGCTAGAAATGGAGAGCTATCCATATCATCACTGATCCAGTGAATGAATCATATAGATTAATCTTAGTTAATAGCACTCAAGGGAGCCGCATATGCAAAATAAACATTTTATAATCTGTAAACATTTTTAGTAACTAAAAATGTTTCAGGTATTTCAAAGATAGGAACAGTCAATATATAGATATTATATATTAATGTGAACATGATTATTGAAAATTAACCTCTCTATGAAAAGTATTAATGAGCCAAGATGTGCCTAAATATTAGGGTACTTCAAGCTGACACTCAGACACACACACACACACACATTTTAAAATAAGGGAGTTAAGAAACATGATAATGTTGCCGGGCGGTGGTGGCGCACGCCTTTAATCCCAGCACTCGGGAGGCAGAGGCAGGCGGATCTCTGTGAGTTCGAGGCCAGCCTGGGCTACCAAGTGAGTTCCAGGAAAGGCGCAAAGCTACACAGAGAAACCCTGTCTCGAAAAACCAAAAAAAAAAAAAAAAAAAAAAAAAAAGAAACATGATAATGTATGTGATTTAATAAGATGGACTAGCACTTGCCCTTAACTTGTAGGACAGTATTGCTTAGGTTACATTAACCTGAAATTAAAGTCTAATTGTTAAGCTTCAGGCCTACACATATATAATTAAAATCTATACTATGGTTAATGCTATCATGAAAGTTTCAACTTATTTTGCTATTTTTCAACAAGAGAAGTAAGAATACATGAGCCTTTTATTTGAGATACTGAGGGCTGTTGGCTGAAGAAAACTAAAAGATTGTTGCAATTGTTTGAAAGAGATCAGGGTCTCAAAGAGGCGCAGGGCCTTCCCCCATGATCTTCAAGGGACTTTTGCACCTTCTCTCTCTCAGTGCTGGTGTTTAGTTGAGGCCCTGGAGGCAGGCTCTGTGGCCTGTTAAGACAGGGTGCTGACAGGACATCCTGTAGCAAATGCCGCAGTGCCATCTCTCTCCCTTGTCTACTGCTGACTCTGCTCTCCTCCTTCCTCACCCTTCCCTTCCCCATTCTTTGTCTTCCCCCATATTTTTTTTTTCAACAAGATGAATGAAGATTATTGGGTAAGAAAACATTTTAAATGGTTTAACAAAACATTATGTATAATTTTAAAGGTAAACCCTGAATTTTTTTAGTGTCTCCTTTTATTATAGGCATTATGTGTATTTTAGTGATTGTAGAACTTGAATTGCTCTAGAATGTGAATAACTAGATTTGTGTTTTATTCCTTTTGAGTTGCTTTGTAAAGAGTCTCCTATGAGAAATTCTCTTTTCAAAATTTAGTATTGTGTAGTTTCTTCCCCGACTTTAGTAAAAAATATTAGAGTACTTATGCCAGTGTCTAACTAAACTCTTAAGTATTAAATAAGTTTATCTTTTACCTTTAGTACAGGTTATCCAAAGTTCTGCTGCATATTATGGCAGTTAAGATTCAATCTTAGACGTGAACTTCTATTTTTTACTGAGGTCCAGGACACAGTGAAAACATGTGCTTAGGATGCAGCAAGCATAGCAGAGTAACTAACTGCTGTTAGATGCTGGAAGAGCAGGGTATAAAACACACAGAAGAGATGGAGAGTAGTCAATGGGGACATTTTATATGTTTGTTTAACTCCATGGTATTTATTATTTTGTAGAGACATTTGTGATTGTCTAGATATTGTTTTTATCATATTTATGTATAAGGTTGACTTTTTAAAAAATAAATAAGCCAAAAATTGTTTTTGAATGCCTCTGTCATCTTTTGCAAAGAAATTTAAAAAAAGTAAAAAGTTATTTAGGTCTGATAAGGTATACAAGTGGCAGTGAAACATTTAAAGTGATACTGCTTTATAAAAGTATGAGTTTAGACCTCTGTGGTACAGTAAATTAGAAAAGAGATATAATGTATTTGACTGTTAGACTATTACCCTGTTATCATTTGTCCCCTCTTTTTTTTTTAACCATTTATTGTTGCACACCTATATATAGTACATGTGAGCACTGTTTGTAAAGGTCAAGGTTATGATGCTCAGATATCCTTTCCTTGCCCTGGCATTTTAGGTGTAAGAAACCCCTTATAAACTTTATTCTAAACCATGTTTAAAGCCCTAATACTATGTATGTTTTTAATCTGAAAGATAATACTTAATATGCTTTGTATACTTCCTCCTTGACTACAATTTTTCCTTGTCTGAAAACACTTTATGTTTTACATGTCACAGTGAATGCTTTTCTCCTTTATCATAGTTCTAACTTTTTAGACATGGAACAAGAATATGCATACAACTCAAATTTCTAGTCATTTATGCATGACTGTATGAACGAGACATCTTTCAATTAAAATATTGTTTTTTCTTTAACTTAGATTTTATAGGCTCAGCTTTATTTCTCTGGAAAAATAAGTTTTTGAAATAAAGTGAATATAAAGTTGCTTAACACTTAGGTTTAGCTTTTATGTGTGGTCATTTGGTACATGGAGTTTCTTTCCCAATTATTAGTGGCATTTGACATCCTATTTCATTTTTCCTTCCTGGTCTTAATATAGATGATGCTGTGTGTGTAGGGAGTACAGAGTGCTACATTCAAGCAACACAAGTTTATGCCGTTTATGGAATGCAGTCTAGGCTTTCATCAGTAGGGGGTTTTATGTTCTGATCCATCTTATATCCATTTATGTCTTACAAAAAAGTTCTCATTATCAAATTACCAAAAATAAAGGTAGTAACAGAATCCCTTTTGAACCCATAGTGAGTTCTTCTGGCATGAATTTATAGCCCTCTTCTACCCTTCCAGCCAAAGGTCATTCCAAATGCTCTATGTGGAATTTGTCTGAAGGGTAAGGAGTCCAACAAGAAAGGAAAGGCTGAATCACTTATACACTGCTCCCAGTGTGATAACAGTGGTAAGTAAAGATGTCTCCTTAAGATTTTAACCTCACCCTGCGTGTTGCCTCAAAAGCTAGGGTTTATAGTTGTCAGCTAGGTGTCCACCAAAGAATCAACAAAAGGATAGTGGCTTGTTAGATGTAGTTAAAACCCATGTATCCTCTACCTTGTATTTTGATGTGTCTATGGTGATATTAATCATGGCAGCCATTTTTGGGAACTAATATTTTATATGCCTTAAGTTAAAAGTTCTATTGTGAAATGCTATTAATGTTGGTTTTGATTTAGGCCACCCTTCTTGCTTGGATATGACCATGGAGCTTGTTTCTATGATTAAGACCTACCCATGGCAGTGTATGGAATGTAAGACATGCATTGTATGTGGACAGCCCCACCATGAAGAAGAAATGATGTTCTGTGATGTGTGTGACAGAGGGTATCATACTTTTTGTGTGGGCCTTGGTGCTATTCCATCAGGTAAAGATGAAAAAAAAAAAAAAAAGCCCATTATCTTATGTGATGAAGATCTCCCAGCGTTTTTTTTTTTTTTTTTTTTGGTTTTTTGTTTTTTTTAAGGTTGCATAAGTGGCATGAACATATTCCAAGTATGATCAAGCTGTTATTGTCCATGTCACAGCTACCTGATTTTCACCCATAGTGCAACCAAAGGAGAAGTGAGATAGCAGAATGCCTAGGTTAGGTTTGGAAGCGTTGTCTGAGGGATAAAATAAGCTGGTGTTTTCTACTAAAACTGCTCAAGTAACACCACCAGTTTGTTTCAATGCTTTGATTTTATTTTTAAAGGTCTATTTAGAAACTTAACAAAGTGACTGCTATGCTTTTATATATACTAAGACATCTTTCTATAAAGTGAGGCAGCAAGACAATTCCAGATAACTTTAGGATGGACACAAAATCAAATAGTAAATCACAGTAATTCTATTGAAACATTATACAGGTAATTGTGCAATTTTAAGGACTTAGTTGCATAGTTAACACTGTATAGTACTCTATAAAACTAAGTTTCCCGGAATTCCTTTAGAAGTAAGCAACTTGAATAATCACTTAAGGTTCTGTAGTAATTCAGCTCAGGTATGTGGTAGAGTTAAGTGCCATGGACAGTGCTGTTAGAAGAGTGGAGAAAGGCCATCATAGAAAGCCAGATTCATTAACAAGTTCTACATTAGGAATTGTGTTGTTGAGGTTTTAAAAGCATGATGGTATTTGAATTTTAGGAAGGATCTAAAGGTACAAATGATTGTTTTGTGCCCTTTCCCCATCTTGTCCCTGCACTCAATTCCACACTGCATTGTTTACACTGATTAAAGGTTGTTTACATTTTCTTCCTTGGCTTAAGGAGCTTAGTACTCCCCTCCCCACTGAAAAATCCCCGAGTTATCACTATGGACAGCTCAGGAATGAGTTTAGGTGGTTTGTCCTGTAAAATCAAGTTCCACTCCATATTAACTAACAATTTTTCTCCTAGGTCGCTGGATTTGTGACTGTTGTCAGCGAGCTCCCCCAACACCCAGGAAAGTGGGCAGAAGGGGAAAAAACAGCAAAGAGGGATAAAATAGGTTTCTGACCCTCATGTTTGGGAATATTTGGTGCCAATTTATTTACACTTTCATTTTTATGCCAATAAAGAACTTTTTTTGAAATTAACTATAACCTTAATCATCTTCATGTTGATTTATTTCATTATTAGCAACTCCTACCCTTGAAAGAAAGTCAGAGAAATGGCTCATTTCCCCAGATTTTAATCTCTTAGTGCTGTCTTTCCAGAGATCAGCAGAAAGAGGTAGCAACTTAATTTGAAATACTCTTGAGTCTAAAAAGTTATTAGTATCTGTCATGACTGCCTTGACCTGCTTAGGTAGTATTATAGTTACTTAATAACCACAGCACTCCAGTCAGCCCAAGCAGAGGAAAGGACAGATCGCCCAAGATCTGGTACAACTGGATATGGGTCATCAACTGGCACAGCAACAGTTTGTAAATACATGCCTGCCAGGAAAGCTTGCTTGAGTATCGGGTACCATGTCCCATTTCTGACCTGGTTTAGTACCTCTGTAAAACCTGAAGTGCTGTACTTCATTTAGAATGTCTAGAATAAATTCTAAAGTCATCAGCCTTTTAATTTCATCTGCACTAGCACGAAGACAATCTGATTTATACAGCCTGTTACTGCAATAATCTTTTTACTCACCTGACTAACCAAAATGTATTTAAACATTTTATTGAGCAGACTCCTTTTTATAGGAATTTTAACCTCTAAAATATTGTGCTTGCTGCTTTTCCTGTTGGGGAGTAAATTGAGGTAACAAAACTGTATGGCTTTATTTTTCCATCCTAGTCTAGAAAAAGGAACCAGAATTTCACCAGGTCAAGTAGCAAGGTCCACAGCAAACTAATTGCTCCGTGCAGATAAGGGTTCAGAAGAGAATTTCGAGCACCAATTTCAAAATGCTAATCAATATCGTCCAGAGGACCGACTCCTCTTCTTGAGCTGACTCCTCTGGAGCATAAGCTTGGTTCTGACTGGCTCCTGTAGGGTCAGCAGAATAGGCAGCCTCTCCAAATGGGTACTGATCCACAGTTCTGTCAGAGTATACCCTCATCTCAAAGTCGCTTTCATGGTGTGATGGGTGTCCATAAATTCCTATCCCCACCGGGCGCTGGAAGTGCGCCGGTATAGAGACCACATCCTGGCCGCAAGTGACCGATTGCAGCTCATACTCGTCGAAGCTTGGGTGCAGAGTGCTGTCGGACACGTACAGGTCCGCATCCCCCCTGAGGCTCTGCATCCTGAGAATAATTTTACCCTCGTGGTTCAACCGCAAGTAGCTGTAATTCCCAGCTCCTATCTGGCCCTGGACCACGTGCAGAAGCAGCCACTCCTCCGGGACGTCGTCGTCGTCCATGCATTTTACCTGGGTCACCACCTGGGACAACAGGATCATCAACAGGGCGCACCTCCAGGGAGTAGCCATCGCTGGGACACTCAACTCGGGAACTCCCTCATCTGCAGTCGCTGTGTCGGGAAGACAGGCTTGACCGAAGGTGCTGGCTCGTCCAGGCAGATCAAGATGTGTGCAACTGGTCCCGGGAACCCGGCGGGGAAGGGGATGGAGAGAAGGGGTAAAGAGTAGGGAACAGCAGAAAGGGGAGGAGGAGGCGGGGTGGGGAGAGGGAAGCGGTAAGGGGACGGTGGGACGGGCCCCTGGGGGCCCAGGTGTCTGGGGAATAACGAGGTTGCTGACCCCGGACTCACCGCCACGCCCCGCAAGCCACGCAGCACCCGCAGCATCCGGGCTCAACATGGAACTCGGCCCGGCAGGCGGAAGAGAAGCAGTGCCCGGAAGTGTGGTAGTCCAGAAGCGAGGGCTTTCGGGAACGGACTCCCGCCTCCGGGCCGGAAGTGAAGCAACGCCCGAGTCTCGCGAGAATAGAGCAGGGGCGCGTAGCGTTAAGGGTTCGCTTTCTCGTAACCATAGTGACGCGAAGGCGTCCGCGGCCAGTTCCGGAGAAGGCGGGCTGGACCGCAGGTGAGGGCGCCAGGGGCCGCGGCTTGGCGTGAGCGCCCGCGTCCGGGACGTCTTCGGGCGACAAGTTCCCGGGAGGAGACGGCCAGGGAGCCTCCTCCGGTACGACGGAGGACGCAGCGGGCGGCGGTCCGCGGTGCTGCCCCCAACCTTCTCTCCGCCGGGGCCGCGCCGGGGTCTGCGCACGCGCCAAGCCGTGGGCCGGGCTGCGTGGCCGCCAGAGGGCGCTCGCCGAGCCCAGACCCTGCAGCCTGAGCCCCTTCCGGAGGCGTTGGGCTGGGGGTCGTGAGTGCAGGCTGTGTCGGGAGAGAATGCTTTTGGATTTATCTTAAACCATGACAGAAGGAAAAGCTTAAACTTCCGCGTGAGAACTATTAGTAAGAAATGATGTTTTCTGAGTACGTTCCAGTTTATACAACACACCATAGACTTAATAGAGTGTCAGAAACAATCGCTTGTCTCCCCTCCCCCACTACTTAAGGCCGTATTGGATGTTTGGAAATTCCTCCTAGTTTATAAATGGATGGCCTCAGGGCTGGAAAAGCTCTTGGGACGATTTTACAAGGGCACCAAATCTTATCTAGGAGGCTCCACCCTCACCACCGGATCACCTCCTATCTCGTCCCTCTGAGCCTTCAGGCCATCACCTTGGAGGAGAGGGTTCAACACAGAAATTTTGTGGGGGACACATTCAAACAAGAGCATTATGTAATATTCCACGGTGGCACAAAAGTGGCTTGAAAATGGTAGTCTGTAAAGTAGGCCAACAAAAGCAGGGTACTAGGTATTTTTTAGATTTAAAAAACAAAACACCTTAAGATAGGACCTTTGGGTACATTTAATAATTTAGGAAAGAACTGAAGCCTTAGTAATATCCGGGTGTCGTTTTGCTGCGTACTTGTACCCCTGTTAACTGTAGCTAATGGTGTTATTCTCAAGATTTACGTCTGCAGAGTATCTGAGTTGGAAACCAACTCTTCTAGCTAATGTGGAGAATTTAATCTTTTGCTGTATGTAAAGCTTCAGGTGTATTTTATGATGCTGCCATGTTCTGTGGGAGCCCATCTGCTATTGAATTGCTTGATTATATTTTCCAAACTCAAGGATGAAGTGGCATGATTCTACCTCTGTAGCTACTGAGAAACATTTTTAATATTGTATAATCAAGAGGAAACAGGTTTTGTGGGGTTTTTTTTCCCTTAAGAATACACACAGAATGAACTAGTTTTAACAGTGATGCTCCTTGGATAATAGAGGACAGTCACATGTTTTTATTTCTGTATTATGTGCAGCTCCTAGTATATCTGAGATCACTGCTTTTGTTTAGTGACTTAGCTTTAAAACCAAATTGTCTTTATCTGTCACGTATCACTGCATCTCTTGAATTGCTCCCCTAGTCTTACATACACTGTAATCTCGCTAGAAAAATAAATGTAGTCTTTCTTAGCCTTGTTTGTCTGATGTGCGTGTGTGCAGGGTGTCTGTGGGATGTGCGTGTGTGCAGGGTGTCTGTGGGATGTGCATGTGTGCAGGGTGTCTCTGGGATGTGCGTGTGAGCAGGGTGTCTGTGGGATGTGCATGTGTGCAGGGTGTCTGTGGGATGTGCTTTTCCCTCCTGTACACACTTTCCATTTGACCACCGTTGGAGAATCATAGATGAGGCTTTCAAATGTCAAGCTTATAAAGTGAAATATGTTACTCATGCCTGCATGCTTGTCCCTGCTGCCCTGGCTAGAACCCAGCCATGTGGTTGTACCTGACTACAGGGGAGCTGAGTAATGATGGTTAGTTTTGTGTCTAGAGCAGTGGTTCTCAAACTTCCTAATGCTGTGACCCTTTAATACAATCCCTCGTGTTGTGGTGACCCCCAACCATACATTGCTACTTCATAGCTGTAATTTTGCTACTGTTATGAACCATAATGTAAATATCTGCTATGCAGGCTATCTGATATGCCACCCCCAAAGGAGCTGAAACCCACAGGTTGAGAACCACGGGTCTAGGACAGAGCAATAGTTTGGTAAAAAATAAGCAGTTTCTCCTTTGGTAACAAACATCTGTTTCTCTTTAGATTCCACAGTCGCTCCATCTCAGAGGGACTTGTTTGGTCAAGGCACCTAGCATGGTGGGACATATCTACCCTCCTCACACGGTTCTCTTTATGGGGCCTGAGTGAGGCTTCTCAGGTCCAGAGACCTCTGAGCTAAGAAGATGCACTGTTGGCTCCCCACTGGAGTATGGTGCTTGAGTGTGCTCAGGATACTGTGATGGTGACTGCAGAAACTGCTCATGCCAGTTCTCAGGTCCTGCTGGTTGGAGTTGGGAATGTTTCTCTGCTTTCACCCTGATTCTGCTCTTTGTATTTTAAGGCCCTACATTCTACCCTGCTTTTCCACTTTGGCCACATGTGACATGGCTACTGAGGATATGCCCCCCTAGAGTGCATGGCCCATCCCTTGTGGGAGATACACTGCATGAAGCAATTTTGTGTGTGTGTGTGTGTGTGTGTGTGTGTGTGTGTGTGTGTGTGTGTTTCAAGACAGGGTTAAGCTAGGCGGTGGTGGTGCACGCCTTTAATCCCAGCACTCAGGAGGCAGAGGCAGACGGATCTCTGAGTTCAAGGCCAGCCTGGTCTACAGAGTGAGTTCTAGGAAAGGCGCAAAGCTACACAGAGAAACCCTGTCTTGAAAAACAAAAAACAAAACAAAACAAAACAAAAAGAGACAGGGTTAAAATTCATGTAGCCCTGGCTGTCCTGGAACTCACTCTGTAGACCAGGCTTCCTCCAACTCAGAGATCCTCCCAAGTGTTGGGATTAAAGGTGTGTGCCACCACTGCCCAGCCAGCTATTGATTTTTTTTCTATTCTTGTTTAGATACTCTTCTTTGACCTCATGGTTCCCTGGAAAACAATGAGCTCTGGCCAGTGTGAGCCCCCCTTTGCTCCAGGTGCAGCCACCTCTCCATCCTTCTTGGTCTTCTCATTAAGTCTGCTTTCTTTTTATGTAGTTGCTCTCCTTGTGGCTCATACCCCGAGGTTACATGGACTAAAAGGAACCACCCTTGCATTGTTTTTGGCTAAAAGGTCAAGTCTTGGCCACTCTTTGTGCCTGGTTTTGGTACCTTGAGGTGCTTGAGCCCAGCCTGGAAGCTTCCATGTTTCTGCACATTTTCTGCTTCTGCTTGTTCTCACATTGCCTCATCAAGTTTATGTGTGGGCTGCCAACTCTGTGATAATTTCCTGTAGGGCCCGATGATCAGTACATGTGTGTTTACGCTTCCAGGCTATTAGAAAGTCTTGGCATGCGTTTTGTTAGTATGACATGAACGTTGGGCTTCTCTGGGTTTTGACGGGCTTTCTTTGCCTTCCACTTGGGTAGGTCACTGCGCAGTGTCCCACAGTGTCACTGGTTATGTGTTAGTATGGAAAGGTGTGGGAAGTAATCTCAGAATGTCAGTAGCTTAACACAACCAAGCCTGCTTTTCACACACAGACCAGGCCATGTTGCCTTCCTGATGAGGGCAGGCACCTGCTCTGGGTCCTCAACCTTCTTCTTCCATTAGGGAGAAAGTAGAGGGCCATCGCAGACCATGCCTGTGCACCAGTGGGATAATTGTTCGGAGTCGTGCTTGCTAGAGCTCTGTGGCACAGCCACTCCTGACTTCTAGAGAGCTGGAAATGTAGGTCTTGCTACATTCCCGTGGCTCCAGGGAGAAAGCTGAAAGTATTGGATGAAAAATGGCTAGGTGACTGCTGTGTCAACTGCCAGGCTATCAATTAGAAAAACCAATGTGTTCACAGATAAAACTAACTTTATGATGACAATCAGTTTTAGGGGCTGTCTGACCTCTGGTCACAGAGGACAGTCAGTCAGTCAGTCAGCTAATCCAGGGCGCTGAAACTAGAAATGTGTGTCTCAGTCTTCCTGTGGAATGGCTTAGTTTTCCAGGTTCCCCCCACCTCTGACTGCTGCACAGTGCTGCCCCAAGGAGGGGCAGGCGCTACAGTGCGGATGCCAGGCGCCAGCGGCAAAGAGAGGCTGCAGCAGCAGTCTGAGGGCTCAGAGCTCCGGAAGATGGCCATGTCTCTGCACAGTCAGGCTTTCCTCCCCTTGGTGTTCAAGGCAGTCTCCTGTGACTGTTTCTTACCAGAGAGCCTCTTCGAGTTCGTTTCTTGTGAACATCTCAGCGAACTAAGACTTGTTCATGCTTTCTCCATTTGGAAACAGGTCCAGGAATGTTAAGTGCTGAGTGCCAGGAGCCATTTTGCTTTCTGTTTTTACTTTTAAGATTTGTGTCAGTACAAGACTTCTACAAGACCAAGCCAGTCAAAATCCAGCATGAGACCCCACCCCTACTTGAAGAACTAATGACAGCTGATAGCTTCTAGGGGAGAGAGAGTCAATTTTCTTTGGTGGTGTGGCCACTGGTAGGTTGATCATGCTCTGCTGAATAGGACCAGACCCATGCATGTGGGTTATTTTAAAAAACAAAAAGAAGAGGACAGGAAGATGGGAGGGGGATGTACTGATGGAAAACTCCAGGAGACATTGAAGGAGGGGGAGAAAGGAATGGGTATGATCAAAATACATTATATAACTATGTAATTCTCAAGGAATAAATTAAAAAATACTATATTAAAAAAGATGTGGCATTGTCTGTGACATTTATTCTTGCTTGTCAACTTGACCACATCTGGACTTTACTAAAACCCAAGTGGCTGGGCATACCTGTGAGAAATTTTTTTTCTTAATCATCTGAAGTGGGAAGACGCACTTATAACCTGGCCCACACTTCTTGTGGCAGCCTATATAAAGGACATGGAAGGAAGAAGTTCTTTGCTCTTCTGCAGGCCCTCACTCTGATTGCGACTTCATTCCATCACGGGCATAGAGTACCTACTTCTTTGGGATTCCGGCATATAATGAAGACTATCTGAACACTACTGGATTTTTGGACTTCCACTGTTGGATTAGTTAGACTACAGCCTGTAAGCCACTTTAATAAATCCTCTTTCTATATAAATTTGTTCTCTGAGTTCTGTTCCCATAGAGAATCCTTCTCACACAGTGTCTTTGAATTGTCACCATATTCCTTCTCTACCAGTCCTATTTGCATCAAATTATATGTATATGGGTATGTGCTCAAGCTTTGTTGAGTATGAATTGGTATGTATGTGTGTGCCCATGATCATATGTGAAGGTTCGTGCATATGTGTGCATATTTGTTTGGTCTCTTACTGTAGAATTACCTATGCTTAACATCTTTCTCAGATACTTGCCTGTAGTTGATATATTGTGTACCCCAATAAACTTATCTGGGGGTCAGAGAACAGAACAGCCACTATATTAAACATAAGAGGTTAGGCAGTGGTAGCACACAGCTTTAATCCTAGCATTCTGGAAGAAGAGATCCATCTGGATCTCTGTGAGTTCAAGGCCACACTAGAAACAGCCAGGCATGGTGACACACGCCTTTAATCCCAGCACTTGAGATCTCATGTCTTGCTTGGGAAAGACACAGGCCTTTAATTCCAGGAAATGATGGCAGGAAGCAGAAAGATATATGAGGTGTGAGGACCTGGAACTAGAAGCTTTTAAACTTTTAGGCTTTTTAGCAGCAGTTCAGCTGAGATCCATTAGGGTGAGGACTCAGAAACTTTCAGTCCGAGGATTCGTGGAAACAGGATTCGAAGAGGAGTTGTCGAGGTGAGGTTAGCTGTGGCTTGTTCTGTTTCTCTGATCTTTCAGAATTCACCCCTATACTTGGCTCCGAGTTTTTTTTTTTTTTTTATTAATAAGACCATTTAAGATTCGTGCTACACTCGCCTTTACTGCTCCACCTGAGATGTGTCTTGTCAAGTGTTACTGTCATGCCTTCTTTCATACTCCTGTGTCCTGTTAGCCCCTGGATGAACAACATGAGGCACTCAGATTGCCACCCTCCAAATTTACACACGATGGGTTAGCAAAGTGGGTCCTATTTCTTCCCGTGTAATTGCTAGGAAGTTGGATTCAGAGCCTAGAGAACGTCACAATGGAAGCTTTGCATCTAATCATCACATTCACAGGCTAATTTATGATACTCCATGCTGTTCTGTCTCAGAAATAGCAGCCCTAGTTGCTTAGGCCAACGACCTAGGAAGCATGTTTGACTCCTCCAGTTAGCGCCTAGCACCTACAGGTTTATCAGTGTTGCAGGGGATTGTTGCCACCTCACCTGCTATGGTCCTAAGCTGGAACATGCCAGGAGCTGTCTACCAGAGCCACAGCAGGACACCATAGTGTTGCTGAGATAAATCCCTAGGAGTCCGTTTACTGTTAGAAACTCTAGGATCTGGGGATCCATCTTTCAATGTCTCTAAGCAAATTTCTGTTTCCATAGCCAGTGAGGCCTTGCTGATTCCTGCCCTTACTGCTACTGATCTACCCCTCCACTCAGACAAGTTGTCTTTTAGAAGCAAATATTTGCCCATGGAAGACACCAGCACCAGAGCAAGAAACAAAAGCACCAGCTATGTAGAATATTCCAAGCCATAGTACCCGGGGTGTGAGGAGATGGGAGAATTTATATTCTAATTTAGTTCTCACCAGTAATTCATAAAGCAACAGTTTGAGCTGGAAAGAGAGGCAGGTGACCTGAAGATGAGGGATAGTACGGGGCCTTTGGTGCGTGATGGCCATGCAGGTCCCTCACAGACATGGACAAGTGCCTGCCGTGTGTTGTCTGTCTTATGTTGGTCCCTCATGCATGTGCATGGGTGCCTGCTGTATGCTAGGTCTGGTCTGTGCAGTTTCATAGGCCTGTGTTCTTCAGTAGACCAGTGGTAGTTAGAGCTGTAAGACTGAGGTCTTTGAAATTCTGAAACTGTGAAAAGAAATACTATAGCATAAACTTCACTTAGGGGCATAGGGGAGACTCTGATGGTGCAATGGGTGGAAATCTTTGCCATCTATATGTTTGACAGGATTATTGTGTGGAATATACAAAGAACCCCTCCCCCCAAAACTAAACAAACTACCCAATTAAAAATGGCCTACATAGTTGAACAGAGTTCACAGAAGAAGCTCACCTGTTTACACATGTCTAGTAAACATTAAAAAAGTGTTAACCTCCTTAGCTACCCAGGAAGTACAGATGGAAACTACTTTGAGATTCTACCTCATCCCAGTCATAGTGGCCACCATCAAGAGTATAAATGACAACCCATGCTGCTGTGGATGGGGAAATGGAGAATGCTTAATCACTGACGGTGGGTGTGCAAGCTTGTGCAGCTGTTACGGAAATCCGTCTGGCAGTTTCTCAAACAATTAAAAACGAGACTGCATATTACCTAACTATACCTTACCTGGATATCTACCTAAAGGACTCTACACCCTACTGCAGAGATACTGGCACATCTATGTTCATTGCTGTTCTATTCACAATAGCTAGTAAATGGAATCCCCCTAGATGTTCATTTACCAATGAATGGATAATAAAAATGTGGTGCATATGCACAACAGACTTTTATTCAGCTGTAAAGAAAAATGAAATCATGAATTGTGCAGAGTAGTGGATGGAACTGCATGGAAATACATGAAGATAACTGAGGCCCTGAAGGTCAAACACTGCATGTCCTCTGATATGGATTACAGCTTTGATTTTATAGATTTGTTTGTTTAATCTGGAATGTCTGTAAAGACCTGGAAACTAGAAATGAGTCATGAGGATGGGAGAAGAGGCACCAAGGGAGGTGGGGATGGTAGAACATGGTATGAAAATGGAGGGAATACTGGGGATGGCAGGAATGTGAGGTGGCTGGTCACATTACATTCATAGGAAGCTAATAGATTACTGATGCTCAGCCCCTCCCCATTTAAAATGTTTTTATTTGCATGTCTTAATTAGTGATGATTTTTGTTATGACATTTTACACATGTATATAATACATTTTGATCATATTTATGTCTCCCACCCTGACTAATCCCAATCCTCTTCCCAATTAGTTCTCCTATTTTTATCTTTTTTTTCCTTTTTTTTTTTTTTTTGTGACCCAATGAATGTTTACAGGAGCATGGGTGAAGGGCTTTGTGGTAACATGAACACCTTACCAGTGATGAAAATGAATTGAAGAAAATGTCTCTCTTTTCCCCAGCAACCATTAGCTATAAATTACCTATAAATTCTGAGGGAGAAGTGGGGATCATGGCCACCCCCACCATGACGGAATCTTGACAGGCTCAGTTGTATGTAGGTAATCATTCAAGAGGGCATTGGCCATGTCCTGCACAGCAGACCGTTCCGTAACATTCCACCCTTCCTCTGGCTCTTACCTTCTTTCCTCTCCTTCAGTGATGTTCTCCGAGCCCTGGAGGGAGTAATGCAGATGTCTCATTAATGACTGGTTGTTCAACAGTCACTTGTATTTAGTCTCTGCAGTCACTGCTGCCCACTGCAGAAGGAAGCTTCCCTGACCAAAGGTGAGAGCAGCACTTATCTATGGGTATAAACAAATACTTAAAGGGCAGTTTGACAGGCACAACATGTCCATAAAAGAAAACAGCAACATTAGTTTCTGTAGTCTTGGGCTGCAATAGGTTAGTTACATTTTACAGTACATGAGAGTATAAACGAGAATCACCTGTAACGGACACTGCAGGACTAGGAGGGTGCTTTCGTCAAACATGGCCACTCAGCCAGCACACTTGACAGAGCCTCTAGGGCCCATTTTTATAAGTTTCACTGGCTCAGAAATCAGTTAAGCTGTATTTTATTTAAATCTCACTGTTTGTAGTTCTCAGTAAGAAGGTTTGTGCTTGGAGACAATTTTCCTTCTGATGACAAAGTTTTAAAGGATGGACTAGGACATGATCAGCTCTGTGTATAGAGAGGTGTGGGCATCGTGTTGATCAGAGACCACCTGCCTAAAAATCTGTTGGTTGTGCCTTCAAGTATGTCTGTGCTCGCAGTGGGATGAGTGGCATCAGGGATTCCTCTAGCCTACTGCTACATGGGTTTAAGGTGGTCATGCTCACTAAATGATTCAGCAAAGTAAATAAAATATCTGAAACGTTGTTTAAGATGTTTGGTGAGACTTAGCCACGAATCACAGATGATGTAATCTGTAATAACCTGACTTCTATCACAGACACTGAGATATTTTAATGCATCCCAGGGCTGCTCTAGGGGGTTCCTGGTTCTTATTGTAATTTATTACCAACTCTATTTATCTTAGTTAGGGTTTCTATTGCTGTGGAGAAACACCATGACCATGGCAATTCTTATATAAAGGAAAAATATTTAATTGGCGTGGCTTATGTTTTCAGAGGTTTAGTCCATTATCATCATGGTTCGGCATGGTGGCATGTAGGCAGTGATGTGCAGGAGGACACGGTGCTGGAGAAGGAGCTTGAGGGTTCCTGCATCTTGACTGGCAGGCATCAGGAAGTGGTCTAAGACACTGGGCATGGCTTGAGAATATATGGGACCTCAAAGCCCGCCTTCACAGTGACACACTTCCTCCAGCAAGGCCACACCTACTCCAACAGAGCCAGTGCCACTCCCTATGAGCTTATGGGGGTCAATTTGAACTACCACACCACTTACGCAGGGGTCCTCCCTTCAGGCCAGGTCACTGGGAGGTGGCTGTTCACCTTCACAGTCCTGAAAGAGACTCGGAAGGTGGAGGAAGGCCCGTGAAGTGGAGACAATGCAAAAGGAGTAGAGGTCGTTCTGTGTTCACTGATACCTTTTCCTCTTTGGGGGAGGCAGGGGTGAGTGGATAAGTGTGATATGCATTCTCATGCTAATAGTGATGAATCAACTAGACTTTGATGTTGGGCCTGCCCTCATCTTACATATGCTTTGTATTTTCAGACTGATAATGGACGTGTATCCAGAGATACCCTCCACTGATGGCTGCACAAGTGATGTAGTTGCAGAGAGATACCTGGTTGAATCCAAGAAGTCTACAGCTCATGCTCCACTTGCTTGTGGCTCCCAGCACTGTGCTTTTCCTTTAGATGGGAACCATCTCTGTGTGTGGAGCCCCAGGGGCACTTCTCACCAGGCAGGTCACAAACCAAGGGTGTTCTTGTTAGATCCAGGGTCACAGAGACCTTGCCCTGTTTCTTTATTTCTCCGATATTCTGGAAACATTAGCTTCCATGGAGTCACCCATGAGCTATGGCAGAGCAATGTTGTTAAGCAAAATCATCTTGTTAAGCTCTTAATTTTATAATACAAATAGTCTAGAATTAACTTTCTCTTTAAAGTTTTTAAAGGACATGAGCAAAAAAAGGCTCATCCGAACTCAAGAAAGCCTCCTCCATTCACACTCCAGCTTGAGCTTTCTTGCTTTGCAGTGAAGAAAAAAATGTTTAGGAGGAAAGTGTTGCATGTAAGTGTGCACACCTGGGAAGCTGTGGCCAGGCCAGGTCTCCTCTCCTGGCCAAATGCAATGCCATCTTGACTTCTGGCACCAGGGACACATTTCCGTCATGCTTTAACTTGATGTGAATGCAATTTCACATTGTGCATTCTTCTGTATCACTTTCTCTCATTGGTGTGTATTTAGGGAATTCACTTGATGTGAATGGAATTTCACATTGTGCATTCTTTAGTAACAGTTTCTTTCATTTGTGTGTATTTAGGAGAGTCCTGTCCTTTCTTTTCATGGCTTCATAGTACACAGAATAGACTGCCTTTTAACCATTGTACTGTTGGTGGAAGTTTGCTTTATTTTATCTGTTTATTTATTTATTTATTTATTTATTTATTTATTTATTTATTTATTTATTTATTGCTGTTTTCTGGTGCACACATGGAAAGGGCTGAGTTACAAGAGACACACAGACTTAATATATAATGCCTGGGAGGTTCTCAAGTGGTTGTGCAAAGCTGTGTCTTTGCTGATGGTTAGAGCTACAGTTGATCACACCATGACTGTACTTGATCATTTTAGGTTAGCCCTGATGGGTGTAGCTGTAGCTAGAGTTTTCCTGCCAGCTGCCACCAGGACAAGCACATGTGAAGATGCCGGTAAACCATGAGCCACGTGGCAAGGTGTAGATTTATGGAAATGGACTAATTTAAGCTCTAAGAACAGTTAGCAAGAAGCCTGCCACAGCCATACAGTTTGTTAGCAATATAAGTCTCTGTGTTTACTTGGTTGGGTCTGAGTGGCTGTGGGACTGGCAGGTGATAAAGATTTGTTCTGACTGTGGGCAAGGCAGGAAAACTCTAGCTACATGTAGCAGTCTCCTGTTACACAGTTCTTTCATGCTTTATGATGACTAGGAGTCAGGGTCTTATTGCATGATGATTGGCCACTTAGATACTCACTTTGCAGGTGTTCAAGGCCCACCCCTTTTGTTTGCAGTGCTGGGATCTCTTGAATTTTTGTTTGTTTGTCTTTCTGTGTTTTTCATGTTGGTGTGAAGAAGGTCTTTATAGATTACTCAGGATGAACTTTCTTTTTCCATATAGAATTTATGCTTGCTTCTGGTAGCTTAGCATGATAAGGGCAGGTGTTTCTTTGCTTCTTGGGTCTGGTCTTTTTTGGATTCCTATTCTAAGGCTGGGAGTTGGCAGCATGATGCCCCCGTCTCAGGAGGTTGAATTCTAGCAGAAATGTGTTCATCCATCCATACCCCCGCCCCATCTCCTACATTAAGGCACTTAGCTTGGTTTCAGGATGGCTATACAAGACCAACATGACAGAATGAACTGTCTCTCCCTCCTCCTATGTGGTATTTCTGATACGTTCTTGAAAAGGATGCATTTGATTATATTGTGTCTCTGTTCTTAGGTCTTTTAATGTCTTAGCTTCTCAGCAGCGTTTTATAGAATGTCTGACCATCATTTTTGAGGGAGATTTTCTTTCTTTCTGGGAGCACTAGGAATTAGACCCAGGACCTTACAGGTGGTAGGCAAATGCTCTACCTGGGCTATAGCCCCAGCCCTTGTGGATGATATCATTATGAGACAATAATTTTCTTCTCTTGATATCATAGTTTTTCAGTGTTCTGATGCCTTCAAGAAAAGCCATCAAGTCTTACATGTCTTCCAGTTTTCTTGTCTTTCTCACCTAGAATCATATGCAGACAGACAAGCCTGTGTTACCAGGAGTGGAGTATTTCTTGTAATACCCCTTATCCTAAACTGCTTATTGTATTTGACCTTCAAAAGGACCAAAGGACCCCTGACCTCTTGGCATCTCACCCCATCTTCCATTTGCATGCTTTTCCTTTTTAGTTTGACCATGGGAAATTTATTTTCCCCCTCCCCTTCTACATCAGGATTGTTATTTCTCTAGCCCACAAGTTCTCATTGCCAGTCTTTCCTCCACACTCACACACAAATGCATCCCAGCATCCTGGCCGCTTGTACTTGAGTACTGGTTTCCAGTTTCCTGGCATGTTTGCTATCCCAGTCTTTCCTCCACACTCACACACAAATGCATCCCAGCATCCTGGCCGCTTGTGCTTGAGTACTGGTTTCCAGTTTCCTGGCATGTTTGCTATCCAGTCTCCTTGTATGGTGTCAGCAGCAGTCTCAGGCCACACACCCTACAGTTTTACTTACTGCTGGAGCCAGGAGGGCCTCCATATCCCCTGCTGTCTAATGGCCCAAATGTGTTTATCCTCTGCCAGCTCCTCTCTCCTTAGCTGCCAGCATAACCAACACCTCTTCTGCATCCATTGAGTACTCAGTACACATTTATTAACACCTGGTAAGGAAGAGAAGCGCGAGTACCCCGCCTCACTGTAACAATGTATGATAACAAACAGTAATGATGTGGTCATTTGACGGAAGAATCAGCATTACATGCAGAAATTTCAATGAATTAAAAGTCAACATGTGTAATAAATATATTTAAAAACCTAGGTTCAAAATTATATTGTTTTTCTCTATATTTCTTATGTTGTAAGTAAACTATTTGTTTTTTTAAGCTTCTCACCTTAGAAGGACACCATCAGCTGATTACTGCTGTGGTTTTTGGAAATCAAGTAGATCCACTTCAGCTCTGCTCTGCATCACAGGATTGTGTTATAATGTGGAATGTAGACGACTGTAGAGACAAGACACTTAAAGGTAAACAAAGATGTAGAGCACAGTTCAACAACATAATGGGGAGGTGCTGGGGATGGGTCTGAGAGGGAGGTAGAGGTGCTGGGGATGGGTCTGAGAGGGAGGTAGAGTGTGCACCTGCTGTCCTAGGAGGTTTATTTTCACCTTGACACAGTCCAGATCCATCTAAGGAAAGGGATCCTCAATGGAGAGAAAGCTTCCATCAGATTGGCCTCTTGGCAGACATGTAGGGCGTTTTCTTGATGGATGATTGGCACAGAAGGGCCCAGCCCATGGTTGGTGTTGTGGTCCCAGGCAGGTGATCCTGGGGTATATAAAAAAGCAAACTTATCAAGCCATGAGAAGCAAGTCAGCAATCAGTGTTTCTTTATGGATTCTGCATTAGTTCCTACCGAGTTCCTGCCCTGACTTTCCTGTAAGATAAAATAAACCTTTCATCCCCATGCTTTCAGCCATCATATTTTTTCATGGCAACAGAAGCCCTAATTAAGACACCTACCGTGGAGGAGACCGTGTGTTTAATCCTAGCACCACCCAGGAGTGGACCGTCTCTATAAGGACATTTGTGTCTAAGTGTTCCTTGTCATTAGCTCCGCTGACCTTTGCTGTGTGACATGCGGGTGCAGAGCCTTGCTGGTATTCTTCTTCTTCCTTTTCTTATTTTAAATATCGATGTTTAGACCTCCAGGGTCTGTGGACAGTTTGGAGCGTCTTGCCTCATGGATCAGTGACCCGGGTGCTTGCTGTGTTTCATGTTGCAGATGTAGTGGTGAAGGAGTGAGGCCTGCTCTCTGTAGGGGACTTTCCCACTCAGATGACAGCCTGTTTGCACACAGGTGACTTCTGCAGAAATGTGACTGGAGCTGAAGACGGGAGACCCAGCTGGAGCCAGGGATAGACAAAAGGGTGTGGCCGCAGAGACTCTGGGTGTGAAGGGCCTGGCTGGCAGAGACTGAGGAAGTATGTGAGTGAGAGCTTTCCCAGCTGAGGCTCATGGCTTAGGTGGGAAAAATCCCAGATATGTGTTTATAGTGTTATGCTTAGTGATGCCAGGTAACCACAGAATTGTATAACAGTTTGTACCTCAGTGGCATGAGTGAAGTATGCCAGAAACATAGCCAGACAGATTTGTGTCTTTTCACAATTTAACATTTTTTTGAATAATATGAATTCACAAGGTGTGGCATTTTCATTGGCGGCAATTTCCAAACAATCCCTTCTACCTTGTAATCTAGCTGAGGTAATGCATGTTCTTTTATTCCAGTCTTAACAACTAGTATTAGCTTTCATATGACACAGCAGAGAGTAAGTCCGTCCATCCATCCGTCCGTCCATCCATCCGTCCGTCCATCCGTCCGTCCGTCCGTCCGTCCATCCGTCCATCCATCCCTCCATCCATCCATCTGAGTTACAGAATGAATACAAGTTAAAGAGGCTGTAACAGAGTTCAAGAGGTTTTAGAAGTGGGCTGATAGAAATGTAAGCAGAGCATGTATCGCTAAGATAACCTAAACCAGCCCCAGGGAAGAAGCTGTTGCTGAGGCTGCTGGGCTAAGGGGGAAGATGTAGAGCTGTGCTTAGCTGCTAGGGGAAAGGGCAGAACAGGGTTGGAGCAGGGACAGAAGGCACCAGTGGTGAGTAAGTGGACAGGAAGATGGTGGTTAAGCTGTGCCAACATCGGGGCCAAGCAGATATGAAGCCCCAGGAACAGTTAGGAGTTCTGTATTTGCTCTGACAGGTACACCAGTTATCAGAAGACAGGTTGGTATGCGATTATTGCCATTTACACATTAAAAAGAGCAGTATTCCTGAGGCTGTGTTAGAGGGGCTGTACTCTGAGGCTGTGGATAGACAGTCCTCTGTGTTAGAGGGGCTGTACTCTCAGGCTGTGGATGGACAGTCCTCTGTGTTAGAGGGGCTGTACTCTCAGGCTGTGGATGGACAGTCCTCTGTGTTAGAGGGGCTGTACTCTGAGGCTGTGGATAGACAACACTCTGTTAGAGGGGCTGTACTTTCAGGCTGTGGATAGACAACACTCTGTGTTAGAGGGGCTGTACTCTCAGGCTGTGGAT